TATTATCTGCAAGTATGGGTGTATATTAGCTGGACGCTTCACTCTCCACTCTAGTCCTCTGCGGCTATGTCACTGACTCTGAGTCCAAGAGTCCCCAGGTCTTGCCACACTGCTGGCCAACCAGGTCTCCACCCGGGTTCACAGGAGTCTATTGAACGTTGTAGGGCTTAGCTCGCCGCTTCATTGCTGTTTTTCCCTCACTTCCCCTTATCGGTGACCAACGTGGTCACCAATCAGAGGTTTGTTAACAGCTATCGCATCAGTTCCTAACAATAGCAACCCTGTAGAGGGTTTCTGAGGAGCGGCTTTGCAGTTAGCAGTCCAGTGCTTATCATACAGCGCCACACCAAGGCTGTGCATTATGAAAAAGTTTGAAACAGTGTGAGAAGGACCAAAATGGGACAGAGAGACACAACATGAGCACACGCTGTTGGAACACTGGCGTGGAAAGCCTTGCTCAGAACTGGGTTACCACCAACCTTCAACGTGTGAAAACCACAGAACCTGTGAAGCACAGTAAAATGAAGTATGCCCACAACTGATTTTCTTTTATTCCATGAAAAAGTTTTGAAGTCTATAAAAAATAAAATAAAATAAAGTTCCATTTACCAAGCGAAACAACTCTGCCTGCTCACCTGTTTGGACTTGGAACCTGGAATCAGGCACGGAGAAGGAAGGTTTCACAGACAGGATTAAGGGAGTCTGGTCACGCACAAGCTTACTGCTGATGAGCACATTGATGACAGATATTGCAGTGTATATGAAAGGGCTGGAGGTCACCAGGAATGTGAGGTCCGGGAATATCTCATAGACCTAGGAAGATAAAGACACAAAGGAAAAGAATTTCCATCAACCAAGAGAGGGCCTTCACTCAGTCTTAGCAGATGTCGTGCTGGGTAAAGATACATTTAAAACTGCAGTTGGTTTTGCATGAAGGGGCCACTGTGCTTCACTGAAAAACCAAATTTTATTTTGGTTATCCCTTCTTGACATCGGCTAAGCTTCTCAAGAGCACAAAATTCCACCAACCCAGGGTCACGAGAAAGAAGAGCCAAGGATATGAACTGAAGAAGATATTCCTCGCACTGAGTTATGGGAAAATCCAGATGCTTGTTATGAAACCAAATGGAAGGATAGACTCCTGCTACGGAACGGTCCAGTCCAGCAGAAACAGATTGGAAACCAGGGAAGCAATTTTACAGTTTCTGATTGTCACACTAAGGAGCCCTGGTAGCGTAGTAGGTTAGGCATTGCGCTGTTAACCACAAGGTCAGCAGTTCAAATCCATCAGCTGCTCCATAGCAGAAAGAGAACGCTTTCTGTTTCTGTAAAGATTTGTTGCTGTTGAGCATCATCAAGTCGGTCCAGCTCATACAGTCTCTGGAACCCTACAAATGGGTCACTATGAGTCGGAACTGACTCCATGGCACACACAGCAGCAGCAGCAACACTGAGGGCCCTGGCGTGACACTGTAGGATCAGCAGCAGACTGCTAATCACAAGGCTGGCAGTTCAAACCCACCAGTCCCTCTTGGAAACCCTATATAATGTTGCTTTGAGTCGGGCCTGACTTGAAGGTATAGCAACAAAAACAAAGATGGGAAAATGGAGTCCTGTTATGGTGCTGTTGGATAAGCACTGGACTGCTAACAAAGTCAGCACTTCAAACCGACAGGATGCGGCTGTCTGCTCCCAGAAAATTTAGTTTCGAAAACTCTAAAACATAGTTCTACTCTGCCCCTTAGAATGACTATGTGTTGGAATCCACTCAAAGACAGTGAGTTTTCTGATATGGGTGTTTTTACAAAGACCTTGTTACATTTCATTTTAAATATATTTTCTTTAACTTGAAATATCACCTCAATGTGTGGCCAATACCGAAGTGTTAGAAAGCTATTTTACATCCCTTTTTAAAATCCTAAATCTCTGAAGTTGGTATATATTTCAAAGTCACATGACTCATTCGAATGGGCACCATCTCACTGCTCAGTAGCCCCCTACAGCTGATACTGGCCCTCGTAGGGGCGGGTTAGGGATAAAGTGTGGCTTCCCGAAGGACACTGGTAGAGGAGTTACTAACACAGAGTCAGCATGCAACATCTGAAACCAACCTCTATCTCACTAAATATACATAAAAATACACACGTGCCATAATTGTTTGCAAATAACATGCCCAGCTACCTAAAGCATCCACACACACAATGTACAGAAATGATGAAATTAAGTAAAACAATTCAGCATAACACATGCATTATTTGCATAAAAATATAGTACTCACTCTAGAATCAAATTGAACTTCTAATCCTTTCATGCAAATCAAGGGAAACCAAATCGCCCCCTCAAACTCTGCCACTTCTGGTTTTAGACTATTGTTATTGTTACATGCTGTCCAGTCAATTCCAACTCATAGCAACCCTGTACACGTTTTCCGAGGAGCAGCTGGTGGGTTTGAACCTCCAAGCTTATGGTTCACAGTCCAGTGTTTATCCTACGGCACCACACCAGGGGTCTTGGACTAACTGGGAAAAACACAATCAAAGCTGCTCTGTGGATTCCGATTCTGACACATGTGCTACAGAGCAGAACTGCTCCCTAGGGTTCGTGGCATTTGACAGAAGCAGATCGCCAGGGCTTTCTTCCATGGAGCCAATGGATGGTTCGAACCATCAACCTTTAATTTAGTTGTTGTTACGTGCCGTGGAGTCGGTTCCGACTCATAGTGACGCTGCCCAGGGTTTCCGAGGCTGTAAATCTTTACGGGAGCAGAAAGCCTCATCTTTCTCCCGCGGAACCGCTGGTAGTTTCGAACTGCTGACCCTGAGATTAGCAGCCCGATTCGTAACAACAAACCACGTGCCAGGCTCCTTCTCTTAGACCCTTTTATGTTCCAACTCTTTCGACACATCCTGGTTGGCTCAGAAAAGCTTCCCTGATGAAGCTTGAGCAGGGAATGAACAAAACCCACCTACTGCCGCCAGTCGACGCCGACTCACAGTGACCCTGTGGGACACAGCCGAAGTGCTCCTTAGGATTTCGGGGACTATCAATGTTTACAAGCTCAGACAGCCTCATCTTTCTCCCAAGGGAGCGGCTAGTGGGTTTGAACCGCCGACCTTGCAGTTAGCAGTCCAATACCTAACCCACAGCACCCCCAGGAGTCACTCCTTAGGGAGAGGGGAGGTAAGGGAGGAAGAGAAGGATTGGAGGAGCATTCTAATTTAGTCTGCACATAGTCCCCATGGGTGGGACTCACCTTGAGCTCCACGGCCCGGTTGAAGTGGACACGCAGCACTTCTTTGATGGACGTGATGATGTATTCCTGTACAGCTCTCCGGGCAAGCACTGCGATTCAAGCCAACCACAGGTACATTAGACCCACCAGCAACAACGCAGTCCGAGAGTGTCTGATCCTCACACAGGCCTTGTCTGCTCAAGGCGAGCCAGCAGAGTTGTGACCGAATTTAGAACTAGCAAAGGGCAGTTCAAGAATCAAACTGCCGCTAGGAACTAGAGAACCAGCAGTGGAGATGTGGACGTCAGGAGGGAAGCTGTTTAACAGAATCCACTCAACAACAGGCTGAGGGAACCCAAGGGTGAGATCAGGAACTGACTGGGACCCACCAGGGCATAAGAGCAGTTGGCTGTCAGTCTCTTCTGGGTAAATGCCGGGTCTTCTCTTGACCAGGTCCTGTCAGGGACTGAATTGTGTCCCCCCAAAAAAAGATCTGTGGAAGTCCTAACCCCTGGACCTGTTTGGAAATAGGTTTTTGAAGGGCTGTCAGTTAGGGAGACATGAGGTCACAGTGGAGCAGGCTGGGTCCTAATCCCATATAACTCGTGTCCTTATAAAAGAGACACGGAGACTAGAGGAAGGGTGCCATGTGACGTCACAACCACAGTCAAGGAACCCTGGAAGCCTTCAGGAGCTGGGAGAGAGGCAGGGACAGAATCTCCCTCAGCACCTCAGAGGACAACATGGTCGACGCCCTACTCAGGATCCCAGCCTCGTACCTATGAGATGCACCATCTCTGGTCTCATGAGGCCCCACAGCGAGTGGTACAGGCAGACCTCAGAGATACCATGGGTTCGATTCTAGACCACAACAATAAAGCAAATGTCGCAATAAAGCAAATGTCGCAATAAAGCGAACCACACAAACTTTGGATTCTTAGTACAGCTATATAGTCTATAAATTGTGCACTGTAGTTGTTAAGTGTCTTCGAGTCAGTTATCCCGTATAAGGTTTCCAAGGCTGTAAATTGTTATGACGGCAGAAAGCCCCATCTTTCTCCCATGAATGTGCACAATAGTATTGTGAAAAAAGTTCTAAATATTGTGAGGGTGACCCAAATAGGACAAAGACACAGAGTGAGCACATGTTAACAAAATGGCTCCAACAGATTTGCTTGATGCGGGGTTGCCATAAATCTCCAATTTGTAAAAAGCTCAGTATCTGTAAAGGGCAAGAGAGCAACTATGTCTGGTTTGTCATGGCAGCCCCAGAAAACAAATACAGCCCCTAATAACAAAACACCAGGAGCTCTGGTAGCGTAGTGCTTACGAATCGGCCTGTGAACCTTAGTGTCAGCGGTCCGAAACTACCAGCTGTTCTATGGGAGAAAGGCTTTCTGCTCCCGTAAAGATTTACAGCTTCGGAAACCCTGTACAGAGTCGCTATGAGTCAGAACCGACTCCCCGGCACATAATCACCACCACCAATGACAAAACACAAGACATTAAAAACATTCAGCAGTAATAGCTTAGAAGACTTTAAGATGTTACTCAACAAAACTAGAAAACATCTTTTCAAGACTCACCACTAATTACGGGAAAGAAAAGATTCTCCCAACTCTTACGTATTAAAATTCTATATGGTGGTAGTGATGGTGTACCATCGAGTCGTCTCTGACTCAGTCTACCCTGTATAGGGTTTCTGAGGCTGCAAATCATTGTGGGAGCAGAAAACCTCATTTTTCTCCCGAGGAGCAGCTGGTGGATTCAAACTGCTGATTGTGGTCAGCAGTCCAACGGGTTACCCACTACGCCACCAGGTTCCTTAAAATTCTATATACTGTTGTTGTTAAGGCCATCAAGTTAGTTACAACTCACAGCCACCCTGTAGGTTTCTGAGAAGCAGCTGGTGGGTTTGAACCACCGATCTTGTGGTTAACAGTCCAATGCCTATCCAATAATGTCAAACCAGAACTCCATAAAATATTCCTCATAAGTAATTCTAGTTACATTTAATTTTTTCATATTCAAAAAGACCTAATTAAAAATGTGTAGTCATTCCCCTACGTTAAGTAAGCATATCTTCATTCCTACTTCTCTGGTAGCATAGTGGTTACGAATCAGGCTGTGAACCACAAGGTCAGCAGTTCAAAACTACCAGCTGCTCCGCAGGAGAAAGATGAGGCTTTCTGCTCCCATAAAGATTTACAGCCTCGGAAACCCTGTGCAGGGTCGCTATGGGTCGGAACCGACTCAACAGCACTTAACAACATACAACAACAACTTCTTTTCTCTATCATTTTTGCTTTCATAAACTTCTCATAATGCAGAATTAGAAGACATTTGATGGTACTACCGTTCAGTTTTCCACTTCCTGTTCCTAACTTTTAAAACTAATGGCAGAATCACTCTGCAAGCTGTGTTCTCATGAACGACCACAAATGGGTCATGAGTCTTGATTTTGGGATAGCAAAAAAATGTTTTAGCAAGTTTGGAAATAGAGAATCCACAAATAATGAGGACCAACTGTTTAGGGGGTTTCATACAGTTTGTGGAGAAATGGAATGAAAAGATGGTGGAATTTCTCCATGAACATTTGGAAGTCCCATGGTGTCCACTTCATTCATTCTTACTTCAGTCACCAAGAAACCATGGCCCATTGCCCACCTCCACTGCATGCAAGGCTCCCTGAAGGAGGGGCCATGTCTTATTCATCTGTAGTCCCTGAAAAAATGTCTAGAAGCACCTCACAAATACTAAGGACTCAATAATTATTTGTCTTGAGAATTAACAAGAAGGGCCATGGGCGGTACAGCATTTAATGCTCAATTATTAACCTAAGGATTTGGGGGCCTGGGGAGTAGAAGGGAAAAAAGAAAGCAAAATTTCAAGCAACTCCACCACCTCAGAGAATAGAGACCATCCCAGGGAATGGGGTAGAGATGGTGATCAAAGGTGGTCTTTTCTTTCCCCTTCCTCACTTCCACCTGTCCCCACTTCCTCTCTTTTCTTTTCCATTCATGCTGCTCCATCTGTTGCCATTTGTTTCTACCCATCAGCGCCCATCTCTACTGATGACCTTGCAGATAGTAGTCCAGTGCTTACCCTACAGCACCACCAGCAGTCTTTTCACAGACTTAAAGGAGCTCTGGTAGCGTAGTGGTTACAAATCGGGCTGCGAACCTTAAGGCCAGCAGTTCGAAACTACCAGCTGTTCCGCGGGAGAAAGAAGAGGCGTTCTGCTCCCGTAAAGATTTACAGCCTTGGAAACCCTGTACAGGGTCGCTATGGGTCGGAAACGACTCGACGGCACTTAACAACAACAACAACAATCTAGTGTGAATATAACTTATATGTGTACTGGAAATCTAAAATATTCATGTGACTCATTTTATTGCAATGTTCACTTTATTGTGGTCAGTTAAACATTGGGCTGCTAGCCACAAAATCAGGGATGTGAACCCACCAGCTGCCCCCACAGGAGAAAGCTGGAGGTGTCTGCTCCAGTAAAAAGTCAGAGTCTCAGGAACTCTATGTCCACTCTGTCCTACAGGGTCACTACAGGTCAGCATCTACTCGATGGCAGTGGGGTAGGGTTTTTCTTGGTTTAGAACTGAATCCACAATATCTCTGTGGGGCCTGTTTGCGCTAACAGACCACTAGACAGAAGTCATCTCCCAGGAGGAAGAGGTGAACACCCTGGTTAAGTGGGCCCTAGTTACAAGAAGTTCTCCTTGAAACAAGTCTAACTTTTATCTGCATGCCATCACGTGGCTAAAGCAATTGCAATTAAAAAAAATAATTTGTGTGGCTGGCAGGCAGAAGTGAAGATCAGAGTGTGGCTGAACTCAGAAGCTCTTTCGCGTCTCCAGTGGGAGTCAGGTGACATAGGAATACTTAAGGATACAACGTCCCTCCTTTAAAAGGAAAAAGGAGAACTGAAAAACAACAAGAAACTGCAATGCTTGGCCTCACATATTTGCCCAACTCTTCGATGGAACAAAATATGAAGGCTGTATTGTTTCAAGTGCCATCTGCGCACCCACTGGACTATAAGTAACTGGGACAGATGTGACCCAGAACCTTTCGAGCTCATTTTAATCTTCAGTTTGTTCTTTTTGCTACTGCTCACTAATACACATTGCAGGCCCTGGGCTAGGTAGTTTATATACATGAATTCGTTCAAACCTTTATGTTCACCCAAAGAAGGTGGGTTAAAGTATCCTCCTTGTTTATTTACTATACAAGGATCTAAGGTTCAAGAATTGCTCACAGAATGCCTAGGAGATGGGCAAAGAGGAAGGAATGAGGACCACCTCCTAGGATTATCTGACTCCAAAGCCTCCACTGCAACAATGCTATGTGAGGCTGAGTCAAAAAGTATTGCTACTTGTGCTCCAGTTCATACGTGCAAGGGTTTCTCTCAAATAACCTGGGTTTAAGCATGCAGCTGTGATCAGTAGATGGCTGCAGACATGTCCTCTCAGTAATACACGTGTCTTCATCTCTTTATGGTGGCATCAAAAAGACAGCTAATCAAAGCAGTGGCTTCCAAAGGGATCTTTGTGTGGGCCACCTACATTCAAGACAAAGAGGCCAGCGCAGAAGGTTTTGGCCACTGCTTTTGAGGACTCCAAAGGGGTGGACCTTGATAAGATTTTCTCAAAGGACCCAGGGCAATCACAGGGTTTATTAGGAAGCAACTTGAAGAAAATGGAAAACTCCATTGAAGAGAAAAAGGCTAGGACCGTTGTGCAGAGGGATTTTTTTTCCCATCACAATATACTTGCTCATTCTTTGAGGGTAGCAAGTGCTGTCCAGTGAGAATCTCACTGGGAAACCTTACCCCGTGTACCCTATAACCTGATCTTGCCCCTGTTTTTGGACTTCTTTTTGTTCTCCAAAGTCAAAGAACTTTGGAAAGTAACCGGATGATGGACTTGAGTCCCTCGAGGATGCCAAACAGCTGTTTTGACATGGTGTGAGTGGAAAAGCACACAATTCTCTGGGGCAGGGGTAGCGAGATGGAAGCATCGCCTTAGGAAGTGGAGAGACCTAGATGGAGGCTTTACTGAGAAACACAGCTTCCCAACTGAAACCTTTGTTTAATAAAGGTTTCTATGGTTTTGTCGTGATTATGTGACTCTCCCTCACACATCTTTAAGTATTGGCTATGGAGTCGGCTCATGGTGACCCCCTCGTGTGTCAGAGTAGAACCAGGTGCCATGGGGTTTACGATGGCTGGTTTTTCGGAAGGAGATCAACAGGTCTTTTTCCCAGGGGGCTTCTGGGTAGATTCATACCTTTCAGTGAGCAGCCAAGCGTGTTGACTGTGAGCACCCCCTGAGCATCTTAGAAAGATCACCCCAACCCAGAGAAGTGACTTTAAGCAGGTGACCTTACCAGCTGTGATCAAATAGGCATCGGGAACTGAGATGTCACACACATACGGTGGCTTGGTGGCGATCAGGGCTGGTGTGTTGACCAGGGCTTCAGGGCTGGCAGTGGTCCCCGGAGGAAGTGACGGCAGGGGATGAGCAGTAGGGCTCTTATGGGGATTCGGACTTGCAGTCTTGCTGCTCAGGGTGAAGGTGGTGTCAACAGTATGAACTGCAGCCACATTTGATGTGCTCAGTTCAGTGGAGGTGTTTGTTGGTAAATTTGTGGGCACAAACGATGGACCCACAAAAATTGGCTCTGTGAGGAGAGCTGAGGGGGTTACCTCAGAAACAAACGAGAAAGCTGATGGCAGGTACAGGTCTGTCATTGATAGCGTCACAGAAGGGCTGATGGGGGTAAAAGAGAGTAAGGCAGACGTTGTGTGGCGGTCTGTAGCACTGAGAGACGTGGGAGTAGAAAACAGAGAGGACTCAGTTGATATGAATGGAGTATGACAAGCACTCAGCAGTGACATTAAGAAAGTCCCATCAATCACAAGGTCAACAGTAGACTCAGAACTGGAGGGTGCCAGTGGGGAGACTGTAAACTCATGGGAAACGAGGGAAAACTCGAAACGGGAGGTAGTGTGAGTGAAAGCTGAAGTAAAGTCAGGGTCAGAATCTGTTGGTGAAACCATTGCTGTTTCAGAGAACTTGGAAGAATCAGCTGGGAGATTCAACAGTGATGGCATTTCAGAGTAACTAGCTAGAAAAGTGAATGTGTTTGAAAGAGGGTCTGAACTTGGCCAGAGCTGAGGAAACTCAAGGTGTGTGGAATTGGGAACAGAAAACACAGTTGCCTGCCAGCTGACAGAGGCAGATGATGTGTATGCCTCCATCAGACTAGACAACGCCTGAGAAACGGATGCAGGCGTAGACGCCAGATCTTCTGAGGTTGGAGGTCCCAAACTGCTGAATTCTGGTGGAAGTGTCGAGAAAAAGCTCGATGCAAAATCCAGAATACTCTCAGTTTTGTGTAGGGGAAAATGGGGTGGTTCTTGATCAGAGAAAGGCAAAGAGTCTCCTGAAGGAACCAAACTATAGGACGTATAAAGGCTTGGGTCTGTGGTGGAATGTGGCGGGGTGTTTGTATCTGCTGTGATGGAGAGAGACGAGTCAAGGGAAACACTGGTGAGGGCAGAGAGAAACAAAGCTGCTCTGCTGGATGACATGATTTCCGTCTGTACAACCAAGGAGGAGCTGAAGGACGCAGTCCCGAGTGACACTGTGACAGGGGGTTGGCCATAGGGAGGAGAAACGTGTATGGACACAACGCTACTCCTGTCTTCCTCCGCTGAGGCACTGAGGCTCGGTTCTGAGATGTCCCCAGACAGAGAGGAAAGTGAAACTACAGGTCTTGAGGGGAAAGGGGTAATCAATTCTTCAGGATTCGCCTCAAATTCAGAGAAGTCGGCTGTCATCTTGCTGCTCAGCAAAGTGAGGCGGCTTGCTTCCAATATGGTCCCGGGCAAGGTCTCAGAACTGTCGATCGAGCCCACATCTTTTTCCAGAAGGTTGGAGGACAGAGCTTGGAGAGGTGAAGACAGACTGCAGGACACACACCATGCAGGCAGTCTAGATGAAGGTGTGGGGCTCAGGACAGGCATGTCAGATACATGACTGGGGGCTGCCAGGTGGCCGGGCAGTTTGGACATTTCACTGAAGTTTCTCGAAAGAAAGGGGTCATCAGAAATATCCGCTGATGGAGTAGAAAAGGGAAGCAATGGGAGAGAAGGTGAAAACCATGGAGAATCTGTTCTGCTGCGGCCACCGGAAGCCAGGCCTGTGTGTGACACATGTGCGGTCGGAGGGATCTGAGGGGAAACAGTGCCTGTTGGCCCCTGACTCAAAGCGGGGGTCGCCTGCACGGAGCTGGCTGTACTCGTTTCCAGAACCTGCGCAGGGAGCAGAAATGGCTGCTGGGGGAGGCCGTCACTAGCCTCGGGCACTGGAGACGGGACACTCGGGGAGAGGAGGGGTTCTGCCGAAGCCATGATCTCGGGCCAAGTCCTATTGGCCGTGTGCCCAAAGATTTCCGTGGGATCAAGCACCAAATTCCTGCTCGGAACTGGAAGCCAGTCCCCGGAAGTGGGCAACGCTGACAAGGCCAGGCTGCGATGACCCGAGGGGTCGGCATCTGTCTCCGTCAGGGGTGGCTGCACGACCTGGTGCCAGGTGGACGCCACCTCTCGGTGGAGTGACGAAATGAGGGGCAGAGATGGCGTCGGCGCAGCTCCTGGCGGCCCTGGGGGCCCGGCTGTGACGTCCTGCATGGGCGGGAGCACCCGGGAAGCGGTCCAGTGGGCCTCCGGCAGGAAGTTATCCATCTCGTCCTCGTCCAGGGTCACCTCACTGCTCCTCACCGGCCCATAAGTGGCTGCAGAGCCGCTGGGACCTGCTGAGCTGCGGGCCATGTCTCCTTGAGGAACCAGGCTGTGAGCCAAGGTGGCAGGTGGCCATGCGGCGCTCGGAGGGTGGCTCCGCGGGGGTTCAGGGGCGGGTTCTGTTAAGGCCACATGTGCGGGGCTGAGCGCAGGGGACGTGGGCGACGTGTGTGACGTGGGCGACGTGTATGATGAGGGCGCGTGCAGCTCCAGGGAGGGCTCGTCCACTAAGGAGACAGAGGAGGTTAATTACAACGTGGCCCAAGTTCCCCGCTCACAGGCAGGCCGCAGTCAGCCACCAATCGCCAGACTTCCACTGAGACACTATTTCTGAAGTGTATGTGTGTGTGTATATGTGGTGTGGTGTAATGTAAATTGTGTGGCATGTGTTTAAGGTATGGCTGTATTTGTGTGGTCTGTGTACATGTGTGGCATGCGCGTGTGTGTTTGTAGCATGTGTGGAGCATGTGTATGTGTTTATATACGTGGTGTGGTGTAATGTAAATGTGTATGTGGCATATGTTTAAGGTATGGGTGTATTTGTGTGGTCTGTGTACAGAGATGTGAGGCATGCGCGTGTGTGTTTGTAGCATGTGTGGTGTGTGTTTGTGGAGTGTGTATGTGGTGTGTGATATGCATGTGTATGTGTTTAGGTACAGGTGTTGTGTGGTATGTACATATAGCTATGTGGTATGTATGTGGTGTGTGATATGTGTATTGTGATGTGTGTTTAAGGTATGGGTGTATCTGTGTGCTGTGTTTACAGAGGTAGTTTGGTATGCGTGTGTGGTCTGTGGGTTTGTGGTGTGTACGTGTGTGATGTGTGTGTACACACACTGACATTAATCTTTCTCTTACTTTATAAAGCTTCTACACTCATGCACACAGAACCACGGGGAGCCTGTTGAGTCCAATATCTCATTTATTACAGGGAGAAAGCGAGGCTCAGCGGAGGTCAATAAATCAGTGACAAGACCCACTCATAAAAGGGAAGCTGCCTCGACTTTGAAGCAATTTTCACCGTCGAGAAAGGCTGCCCCCAACAAGAAACACAGACAACTCTGGCGGCACCCCCAACACCATCACAGAGCATTTGGGGACCCACCCGGCACACAAGGCCATCCACCCCAGTTGGCTTTTATCTCTGGCCCCTCTCAAGACTCCTCAACTGCACCCTGACCACAGAGCCACCTGCGGCTAAAGGGCTTTGTTTACCTGTCCCATTCCTAGCATGGCTGAAAGTACACATGGTATTTATTACGTCTTCAGTCAAGTTTTCTTTTCTATAGAAGAAGTTGTTTGTATTGTTGATGGGTGCCAGAAGTCTCTTCCCACTCAAAGTGGCCCCACATGACTGAATAAAACGGTCTTGATAGGAACAGATCACCAGCTTTCTTCCACAAAGCCCCTGCTTGGGCTCTCACTACCAACCTTTCAGTTAGCAGTCAAGGGCCAGGGCTCCTTATTGTAAAGGGGGAAATGTTACACAGGTAAAAAGCAATCACATCACTGGGTTCTTTAGACAGACAACCAGCAACAGCAGACAAGACCCTGACATTACCATTCATGACGCTATTACCCAGAACTCTCCCCAGATGTAGGAGTACCCTGGCGTGGTGCTGTAGAAACAGCACTGCACTCCTAACTGCAAGGTCAGTGGTTCAAGCTCCCCCGCCGCTTCTCGGAAACCCTGTACAGAGTCAGTGTGAGTCAGACTAGCTTGATGGAACTTAACAACAACAAAAGTAAAACAAACCTTTTGTTTCTTAAGTGCCATCAAGCAGGTTCTGACTCATAGCGACCCTGTACAGGGTTTCCCAGCAACGGCTGGAGAGCTTGAACTGCTGACTTTGTGGTTCCCAGTCCAGTGCTGAAGCTACTGAAAATGGGGGACCAGATACACCAGTCTACAACAAAACATAAAATAAAAAGAGGGGGGAAATGGAGCTGCAGAACTTCCTACTGAAGAGGAAATCAGAAAACAAGTAGATTTGAAGATAAATAAATACAAATAAACCTAATTACAACACTAAATTAGACCAAAGCTTACTCTTAGCCCTAGCCCAACCCTTACTCTAACCCTAACCCTAGGCCTAATCGTAACTAGCCATAGTCCTAACTCTTAACTCCTTACTCCTACCCAACCCCTATAAAAATAAGGCGGGAGAGGCAATAAGATCACCATTCTAGCAAACTGTCTAGTGTATAGAGTAGAAAATTCCCTAAGGACAAATCCTTTTATGCTGCACCTGCTTAAAAACTCTGTTCTGCTACGCCATGGGAAACATGAGGCTTGCTGCTCCCGCAAAGAAGTGCAGCCTGGGAAACCCTATACAGGGGAGCTATGAGTCACAGCCAACTCGACGGACAGTATGTAACAATAACAACTATGCAACACCACAGCTTGTTTTGAAATATAAGATCTGAGGAAGGAGCCAGATCTCTTTCTAAATGAATCAGAAACAATTTGTAAGTGAACCAGAGACAACAGCAAGAAATAAAACAGCAAAGAGAAACACTACTGAGTCACTTAGCTGATGACCCCAAGTGGTGGTGGTGGTGGCATGCCATGGAGTCGGTCCCAACTCATAGTGACCCTGAATAGGGTCTCTGAGGCTGTCAATCTTTCAGGAGCACAAAGCCCACAGAGCGGCTGGTAGATTCGAACGGCAAGTCGTAACTCACTATGCTACTAGGGCTCCTTTGATGACCCCACTTATCTGATGTGAATGAGAACTGAAACAACTCGGCCTTCACAAGACAGAAAACAGGCAAAGTGGTCAAGAAAAGTAAACCCTTCTAACTAAAAGAGTCCAGAAACACAAACTTCCTCTGGAGATACGTGAGGGACCCCAGCAGTGTGGATTACCCAATCAGCAAGGCAAAACACACATTTATCCACGCTTACTTATTCATTAAGGAGCTCTGGTAGCGTAGTGGTTACGAATCAGGCTGCTAACCTCAAGGTCACTGTTCGAAACTACCAGCTGTTCCACAGGAGGAAGATGAGGCTATCTGTTCCCGTAAAGATTTACAGCCTTGGAAACCCTGTACAGTCTCGCTATGAGTCAGAACCGACTTCACGGCACATAACCACCACCATTTAACTCATTTGTAGTGAGCAATTTCACATGTTTTCACCACAGCCAAGATTCTGCTTCTAGGTCCGGCTGGCCTCTAGCTCACCGACCCCACAGCACCTTCCTCCAGAATCAAAACCTCTTTTCAAATTGACAATCCCTAACAGGGACCGTGTGGTGCTGTGGTGCTGTGGTGCTATGGGCTAATACACTGGATGGGGCTGTTTGAACCACAACGTTGGCAGTTCGAACTCACCAGCCGTTCCTCAGAAACACTATACAGAGTCACTATGAGTCAGGACATACTCTACGGCACATAACAACAACAGGGAGGGAGGGCCCACTCAGCAAGGCAAGCACAGGCTAAGTTGAGCTGACTTACGTGTAGTGAACGTTCCACATATTCTTCACCATATACACTAGCTTACTTGTGCTTGTTTACTAAAATCTGTGGTGAGCAATTCCACAAGGGCTTCACTACAGCTCACTACACAGCAAGGAAGCACAAACAGGCCCATGCTTACCTTGCTGAGTAGGCACTAGGCAGAGATGCTATTTTCCTTGCTTACGGCCCCAGAAGAAAGAAGCAGGTTTAGACGGGAACAGCTGGAATACTGCAGGGACCGGGTTTTACTAAATTCCGGAAGAGGTTGGGAACCCAGAGGAACCGCTCGCTTGGCATAAACGCCTCAGGGACTCTGACTTCAAGCTCTGGAGATCCATTTGCAAGCTCTACAGCGTAGGTTCAGGAAAACAATGAAATGTCTCTCTGGAGGAGGAAAGGAAAGGGGCCAGAGGGAGTCCACCGCTTCTCCAACATTTCCCTGTGTGTGCATAGGCCCATTCCACCCATCTTGGGGCGCTCTGAGCCCCAACTGTGCCCAAGGGCCCTTCAGCTGTACGTATCAAACCACATTTTGAGTAGCAAATGCTGAAGCCCGTGACCGCACCACACATATCATTGGATCCTACCATGTGCCTCCCACCGCCCATCTGTCAGTGGGTCATACTGTGGTGGCTTGCGTGTTGCTGTGATCTGGAAGCTGTGCCGCTGGTATTCCAAATACCAGTGGACAGGTTTCAGCAGAACTTTTAGACTAAGAACAGACCAGGAAGAAAGGACTGACAATCTACTTCCAAAACTTAGTCAGTGAGCGCCCTGTGGATCAGAACAGACTGCTGTTGTCCTGGGTCCCCAATGAGCCGGAGCTCACAACCACCAGCACCCCAGGTCTCGGCCTGTCCGGCTCCGGCTGCACTGTAATTACCAGAGCCGGAAGTTCTCCCAAAACCCCAAGCTGAAATGCAGGGATTAAAGAGATTGGGGGAGGAGGACAGGGACAGGAAGCGTGGAGGAACTGGTCCGTAACCTCCCACTAGCAAGACAATTTGGTGTTTTTACTTACTCTTTTTTTATTTACAATTTACATCATCTTTCTCAACCTGGAAATCTTTTCGAAATGTAGTAGGAGTCCCTCATGGACTCATGGATGATCCAGCCAAATGGCTCTTTTTAAGACCGATGCCAACGCCCTTGCATTACACATAAGACTCAAAGGGTTTCAACTGACTTGCTCAAAATGGCACCCAGGGAAGAGCCCATAGGACAGTAGTAAGTGGTCTTCTCAACACACAGTGTGGCCCAATCAGTCCATTTCATTCAAAAGTGTTGAAGAAATGAAGTTGAAAAACATGCTAGTTGAAGTAACACTATAATTGAATGGGGAAAGCATGCTAATTTACGTGTTAAAGGAACTATGTGTTAATGGGTGGGAGTGTGACCCACAAAGACATACGATGACTTCCAAACCCCTGTGAACGTGACCCATTTGGAAATAGGGTCCCTGAAGATAAAATTAGTAATTAAGCAGTTAAGTTAATTACGTTCCCTCACTGCCAAGGCCACTGAATTGGTTCTGACTCCTAGAGACCCCGTGTTGGGTTTCCGAGGTTGTGAATCTTTATGGAAACAGAGATCCTCATCTTTCTCGTGCTAAGCAGTTGGTGAGTTCAAACCGCCAACCTTGCGGTTAGCAGCCCAACACGTAAGCCACTGAACCATCAGGGCTCCTTAATTCAGGTCACATGAGGTCACAATCCTGATCCAGGCCCTGATCCAGTATGACCAGCGTCCTTATGAAAAGGAG